AGATTGATAAGATGATTCTGCAGAAATGAAAGCTTGATAGCATAAGTTGCTACACTCCAGAGGTAATCCTGGCAATAAATGATGAAGTGAAGGAAGACCAAGTTCACCACTTTGAAGTCAAATGAAGATTGCATCAACATTCATACATTCATAAGAATATCATTTACACAATAGATAATGCATTACATTGATACATCTGAGTGCATTCAAACATGAAGTTTTACAGATCTTCGGAAGAACAAGAAGATTCAGGGTAAAAAAATACCTTACAAGAAGAAGTTATTCAAAACTGCAAATACAGGAATCACGCAAACATCTGAAGAATAGATGAACGTAATCCGCAAGAGTGAGCATTATCTTGAGATTGGGGCATGTTACCCAATCAACATGTTATTTTGAAAAATAATGAGAAAATAGTTTTCATAGTTTCTCATTCAATCTTTTCTAAAAATGAAATTGTTGAATAGTAAGAAGACGATTTTCATAGTTTCTTACTTAGTAAACTATTTCTCACATCTGTAAGTCCTACAATGCATGATGTTTCCAAAAAGCCTTCGGGAGCTTTTTGATGTTTTCAAAGCCTTAGGGTCATCTGTAAGTCCTACAGTGCATGATGTTTCCAAAAAGCCTTCGGGAGCTTTTTGATGTTTTCAAAACCTTCGGGTCAGCTGTAAGCCCTACAGTGCAGAATGTTTTTTTCTTAAAACATTTCCAGGTAGAGTTCATAATGAGAAGAACTCATCTGAAGAAGGAAGAAGAAGTTCATAATGAGAAGAACTTGTTCAACTTTTTGCTTGAATTCATCATTCGATGGATCAGCATTTCCAGAAGAGTTCATAATGAGAAGAACTCATCTGAAGAAGGAAGAAGAAGTTCATAATGAGAAGAACTTGTTCAATCTTTTGCTTGAATTCATCACTCGATAGATCAACATTTCCAGGTAGAGTTCATAATTAGAAGAACTCATCTGAAGAAGGAAGATGAAGTTCATAATGAGAAGAACTTGTTTAATATTTTTCATGATTCTATCACAGAAGGAGATAGATCAGCATTAATTTTTCCAGAGAAAGTTCATAATGAGAAGAACTCATCTGAAGAAGGAAGAAGAAGTTCATAATGAGAATAGCTTGTTCAACCTTTTGCATGACTCTATCACAGAAGGAGATAGATCATCATCAATTTTTCCAGAGAAAGTTCATAATGAGAAGAACTCATCTGAAGAAGGAAGAAGAAGTTCATAATGAGAAGAGCTTGTTCAACCTTTTGTTTGACTTTATCACAGAATGAGATAGATCAACATCAACATTTCCAGAAGTGTTCATAATGAGAAGAACTCATCTGAAGAAGGAGAAGAAATTCATAATGAGAAGAATTTATTCAACTTTGCCTTAATTTATCACATATAAAGTTGAATCACTGACACCTCCTTCAAGGATCAGCATTTCCAGAAGAAGTTCATAATGAGAAAAACTCATCTGACGAAGAAGAAGTTCATAATTAGAAGAACTTGTTCAAACTTTTTGCTAGATTACATCACAGAAGGAGATGAATTGTCATCCCCAGTGGAAGAGTTTATAATGAGAATATCTTGTTTAACATTGCCATCTTAATTAAGAGAAGTCAACTGAACAAAAAATTATTGTCTTTTCGTCTTTGCCCTATTCTTGTTAACACAAGAATGTACAAAGAGGGGCAGCTGTAGACATTAAATTTTTGCCTATTTTATTATTATAATTATTATAATTGTTATAATTATTATAATTATTACTATTATTATTATTAATAAATATTATTATTACATATTACATGCCCAATACCCGGAGCCCAATTACAACAATACCCAATATTCCAGACCCAATACCCGGAGCCCAATTCTGGCCCAACTGAGCTAGCCCAATAGAAACCCTAAACTGATTAGGGTTTAATCTCTGCTCCAGCCGCCAGCAATCATCCACCGTTGGATCTGATCAGATCCAACGGTCCAGAAGCCTCCAGAGGAAAACCTAGGGTATCATCACCTTAGGGTCACGTCATAGCTTCCCTTGCTGCCACCACTCCGCCGCCTCAGGAAGCTGTTGCCACCGCTTCAACAGAACGCTCCAGTAGATCCAGCTGCCCCTCCACGCTACAACTCTATGGTGAGTCACCACCATAGTCTGGTGACTCACCAAAGAGCCCCTTTTGGACTGGTTCGAGGCCATTACCATGGTGGCTATAAAGCCACCAAACCTGTAAAAGAGAGAAGGGAGAGCGACAGAGAGAGATACGAATAGCAACAGAGAACAAACGAGCAAGAACAAAAAAAAGAGGAAAGGACAGTAAGCAAAGGAGATCCAAAGAACAACCATACCAACAAATAATAGTAAAGAAGAGAGAAAAGAAGGCTTACCACATCCATCGGAGCCTACACGAGCCATCAAAGAAACTGAAATACCGATCGTATTTCCATAGATCTAGGTAATTTCGAAGGTTTTTAGGGAAAGTAAAGACTGGAATCGGCCTTAGGGTATTTCGATCTATATTTTAGGTAAATTTGGGATTTTTCAGCCACCGGTGGTGGTGGTCGGCGGTGGAGCTTGCGACGGCGTGTGGCTGCTGGCGGCTGCCGGAATTCCCTCAGATGAGGGAAATACAGAGAAAAACGAGAGGTTCTCTCTCTGAAGAGAGAGAACCAGAAAGAAAAATGAGAGAAAAATGGCCCTTTGGGCCGGTTTAAAGGGTATATATACCCTCACCAAAACGACGCCGTTTTGGTGAGGGTGTTTCTGTAATTTCTCATAGGGGTAAACCCCATCCGTAGTGCTTCACGTCTGTACACTTTGCAATTTAGTCATTGAAATTGACATTTAAACATTTCAATTTAGTATTAAATTATATTTACTTTATAATTTAGTCCTTTCCAGTAGTTATATATATTTTAGGATAAATACTTTATTTAGTCCCTCGTAATTTTAATTACTTTTATTTTGATCCCCAATAATTAATTAGGTCAAACTACACTATTAATACCTATATTTTTAATAATTCGAATTAGGTCTCTAAATTTTAATATTTTACATTTAATAACTGATGTTTTATATAGTTTTATTTTAGTCCCTAAATTAATTAATTGGTAAAATAGCATATCAAATCCCTGTAGTTTTAAATAGTTAATTATAAATTAGGTATTTAATTTTATTAGATTATAATTTAGTCCCTAAGATTAATATTTTCATTTATTTTACAAGCTTTATTACTTTTTACATTTTAATACTATATTTTAATTTTATTAATCATATTTTACTTTCATATATTTATGATTATATATATTTATCATTAGTATTACTATTATTATTTAATGTCAACATATATATATAAATAATATTTATCTAAGTCTTATAAATATATATATAAATAATATTTATTTATTTTATGAAAATTCTATTTATAAATTTAATATATTATTTTTAAATCATTTCAATTATATTTTAATATATATTTATCAATATTAAGAAAGGACAGTCTTAAAGCAACTGGATGTCCATTTTCTAATATTTGTAAATAAAAAAATAAATATTTTAATATATAAATATGTTTTTATATTATTTTCTATTAAAATTTATTTATTTTTTCAATATTAAGAAAGAAGCTGTCTTAAAGCACCTAAAAGCCCTTTTCTGATATTTCTAAATAAATAAATATATTGTTTAATAAAATATATATATTAATATATTATCTTAAAATTATATTAATAAACTTAACAGAATTATAGATTAAATATATTTTGAAACTTTTAAATTTCCAATAATAGAGACAATTTATAATTAATAAGTACCAATTTTGGGCGTTGTAGGGGTGCTAATCCTTCCCTAAGCGTAACCGACCACGAATCTATTTTTATTTCTAAAAAGAATGAATTTTGGGTTAAACGCAAATCAGTTTATCTTTTAACTGATGTTTTCTTAAAAAACTATTTAGAAAGGTAATTTTTAGGTATTCGACCTACCTGACCCAAAAGGCCGATGGCCATTTTTTTAATTATTTTGTATCCACATTATTTTTCCCGCCAAGTAAAAATTCGTGCCCGGACGAAAATCGGTTACGACATAGTCTATTAAAAATCAAAACTAATTTTTCTTTATTTCATAAAATATTGAATAATATATGTAACATTTAGCTAAATTTAGTCAATTAATGAGACTATTAATGTTAAATGAATAGCAATTCCTATGATAATACCAACAGAAAAATTATGAGATGTGCATCCAAACCAATGTTTAAATTTATATATAATACAATTGTAAATTTAGGTATGAAGTTTAATTATTTAAGTGATCCAGCTATGGTGCTGAAAGGGCAGCTTTGATTGTGTGAAGTAAGTGGGATAAGACTTTGGAAACACTTTGCACTGTTAGTTTACACTTCACCAAACGCTCAAACCCAGTTGTAAGTAAGCATCCACTAGTTGTACTCCCATTGGAGTTGCCTTGCTGGTTACCACCATGATAACTCGATGAATGACCAGGAAGAATTGAATATCCCGATGGTAACATTACCAATTCCGACGTATCACCGCCGTTCCTCACTACACTTGTTGATGGTCCATGGAAAGGTGCATAAACAATCAGCGCGCCAGATGCATTACTCCAAGTTTCCAGCAAAATTAGCATGCTGTTGTTGGTGAGACAGCTACTAGAGAGAGTGACAGAGTCGCCCTGTCCCGGGCCTTTGGAGACATTGATAAGTGCCGACATTGATCTTTCTTTCGACAAAAGCTCTCACTGACACCGCATCCATACATCCAGCAAGTGATCAAACAACCTTTGTTGAGTTATCGACATCCAAACCGAAGCTTCAGCGCTCAGAACAAGGCTCTAATCGAGATACTTTGCATCTTTCTAAACCATCACCCTTACATCTTCACCCACATCACAAACATAACCAATATCGACACCCTTACGTAGGGGCGGACCCAACACAAAAATTTAGGGGTTGTAAGAGCCCCATGGGTGGTATTTGTATTAATTTTGAGGGGTTTCTACATGGACTTGTTGTTGGAGAAGAAATTTGAGGGGTTGCCTGGGATACCCAGGGTACCACTCAGGTCCGCCCATGCCCTTACGCTCACTCAAGGCGCAAATGCAGGCAAGGAAGTTGTATGTCATGCGTCGCACAAGCTTTAACACGCTTATCCTACAAGCTGCAGTTATTCCGGGGACAAAATAGCATGTATCAGAAGTAAAAAGACATGCATTTCCTTCATTGATATAAGGGGACATTAGTAGTGCCATGCGGCGGCAGTCTTTGGAGAGTGGTGATCCACCTTTGTGAGCTGATGCTGAAACCGAAACAGTGTAACGGATACAAAAGATGGTGGATTTCGCTCTCATGGTATTCCGAGTGTTCGACCCATGTAAACTGGCATTTAGGAACTTGTAAGAATGATCATTTGCAAACAAATATCGAAACCAAACTTTAGAGCTCATCACAATTGCAATTACTTTGGAGTATTTGTTGTCAATATCTTGGATAACACATCCAGAAGGAAGCCTCCTGCAATTAGCAAACATGTGCAGATTTGCAGCGTTGCTAGGATCAATAGAAACATCAACAACCGCCCACACACCATGCGTAAACCGCTTGCAGAATCGGAGAAATCGAAGTTTAATAACAGGAACCAAAGTGAAAGAACTTGGAATTCAACATCCATCTGCAATTACGGTATTTCATAATTCCAAAGCTAAGCAAAGATGAAAATAAGAGTGGGTTAAAATGATACCACTTGTAATGCATTGTCTCTGGTTCCACGGGTTCCGGTTGATAGCGCACCAACCGTTACTGCACTTGCAATCAGGCAAGGAAACATATATGCCCAACGATTCTTTAGCAAAAAAAGGTTGTTACTTGTTAGACATAATCTTGTTGCCAATCTTGGTCACCCTTGGTCTTCTTCTCGATTTAAAGACCTCGGTTTGAAAATTCAACCAGAAAGTTTTTCCTCGATGCTACCATGCGGTTGATATGTCCTCGAACTCGAATGGAATCGAACTCGAAGGTTTTTTTGACCGATAGCCCTTCTCGCCTTGAGTTATGCTGTAAATTTGACTGGGATATAGTTCATTGTTGCTAAATCGTAGCCAACCCAAGTCTTTTTCTTGAATTAAAGGCCTCGGTTTAAGCTTTAACCGGAAAGTAATTCCTGGTTGCTACCATACGGTTGATATGTCATCCAACTGAATGGAATCAAACTCGAAAGTTTTTTGTTTACAGATGGCCCTTCTCGCCTTGAGATATGTTATAATAGGCTGGGAGGTAACCCCCTGTTGTTGCAGATGACTCATTTGTTATGACACTAAGTTAATCCATTGGGTACAATATCCTTCTTTGTGAAGTCAAAATCGTGGATGGCTCATTCGCTGTGAAGTTGAGCTTTGAAGTGGATGTCCTTCATTGTGAAGTTGAAATCCAGTCTTATAAATTGCATCACTTTCGAGTTCAATAACTTTCATGTGAAGTTGAAATTGACTCTGAAAAGAATCTATAAAATTATGCATATATGCGATGCTATAAATGCAATGCTCTTATGTGTTCCTAAAATGCATATATGAAATATGTTATTAGAGAGAAATCTCAATCTCGGTTTGTCAGTCTTGATGACTTTTGACTCTGGAATCTTGAATTTTTTATTATTGATATTGGATTCTTCAACATGTTTAAATCCGATGTACAAAATGTCATTTGTATTCTTGATCTGAGCAATGCCTTTCAATCTTCTCAAGTATGATGTATAAGCCTTGATCGGCTTCCGAACATCTATGATTTTCAAAGAAATCTTTGTACAGTAATACGCAATTATCTTTTCAAAAGTGAATAAATCATTAGGTTCAAATTCAACCCAAGATGCTTAAAAGGAATTGACTTGGAGAAATTATCATCTTTATTTATAAGGGAAAAGGAACAATAGTACATGACAAACATTCTGAAAAGTCAATACATAAAAGAAGTAGTAGATGCCTTAGATCTCAATAATTTGGGCGCTTTTGAACTGATACGCCGTTAGATGACTTTTGAGTTCAGCCTTTGTCAAAGGATCTTCGAAAATGCGACAATGTTCGGGAGAGTGCAACAAGTCTGTGGAAGATTAGGGATGCCGGGATGATTTACTATTTTGATTCAGGACCTTTTCTGAATTATTATCCAAATCACCCTTTCGGGTTTTCAACTTGGGCCCACCCTTTGTGGGTTTTCATCTTGAACCCACCTTATTTTTTTCTTTTTTCTTTCAGTTTTTTATTTTAGGCAACCCTTTTGGGTTTTCACCCTAAACGTTTTTTTTCTGGCTTAGGACGTCTTCTCGTGTTTTCATCCTAAGTGAAGTATTTTTTGATTGCATCTGAATTAATGGGATTAGGTAGTTCTGACCCGTCCATTTCAGTCATGACAAGTGCTCCTCCAGAGAAGGCTTTTTTCATGACATAAGGTCTCTTCTAATTTGGCATCCATTTTCCTCTGAAGTCGTTTTGAATTGGCCAAATCCTCTTTAGCATAAGATCTCCTTCACGGAATACTCTTGGGCGTACCTTCTTATTATGTGCCCGAATCATTCCTTTCTGGTAGAGTTGACCATGATGAATGGCTTTCAATATATTTTCCTCTATTAGGTTCAACTGATCATATCTGGCTTGTACCCATTATGTATAATCTAGTTTAACTTCTGACAAGACCTGGAGTGACGAAATTTCTATCTCAATGGGCAGCACTACTTCCATCCCATATGCTAAAGAAAACGAGGTTGCCTCAGTCAAAGTTCGTACCGAGGTTCGGTAAGCAAACAAAGCAAAAGACAATTTCTCGTGCCAATCATTGTATGTCTTAGTTGTTTTCTCCACTATCTTCTTGATGTTTTTGTTTGCTGCTTCTACTGCTCCATTTGTCTTTAGTCTATAAGCAATAGAGTTGTGATGCTTTATGTTGAACCGTTCACAAGCAGCATCTATCATCTTATTGTTCAAGTTTGTAGCATTATAGATAATGATTCTTTCGGGTAAACCATACCGACATATGATCTCTTTCTTCAAGAAATTACAAATAGTGGACTGAGTGAAACTGGCATATGATGCAACCTCTACCCATTTTTTGAAATAGTCAAATGCCACAAGAATGAATTGATGACCATTTAAAGCCTTCGTATGGATTTGTCGGATAATATCCATGCCCACATAGAGAAAGGCCATGACGTCGTCATCACATGAAGAGGTTAAGGTGGAACATTTATTTTATCTCCATAGATTTGACATTTGTGACATCTTCTAGCATAATTGATGCAGTCACTTTCCAATGTGGACTAGAAATATCCACATATCATTATTTGCCTCGACATTATATGTCCATTCGCATGCGTTTCACAAACTCTGTCATTTACTTCTTCTATTATCATCTTTGCCTCTTATGTATCTACACATCTCAATAGGATCTGATCAGGGCTTTTCTTGTATAATACCTCTCCATCAAGAACATATCTAGACGTCATCCTTATAATAGTTCTTTTAACAGTTTCAGTGGCTTCATCTGGATAATTTTGATTTTTGATGTATTGTAGAATGTCGTGGTACCAGGACTTAGTGTCATTTACTTCCTCAATTTGGTAACAATGAGTCGAGTACTCATATGATTGCATGTCAATTGTCATCATATCAGACTCCCTGCCAGCCTTGACTACGGCTGCCAAGGTAGCTAAAGCATCATCCATTTGATTTTCTTTTCTAGGCACATAATGGAAGGTGACTTCATCAAATTCTTCGAGTAGATCCAATACTAGCTTCCGGTACTCTACCAGCTTTACATCCTTGGTTTCTCATTCTCCATGGAGCTGATATATAACTAAGGCTGAATCTCCGTATACCCGCAAGGTCTTTATATTTTGTCCCATAGCATCTCAAATCCCCAAAACATAAGCCTCATATTCTTTCATGTTGTTGGTGCAATTGAAATTTAGTCTGCTAGTGAATGGGTAATGATTTCTTTCAGGGGAGATTAGTATTGCCCTAATTCCATGTCCTAATGCATTTGATGCACTATCAAAATGCATTTTCCAAGAATCTCCTATGGAAGTACCTACTTTTTCTAAGGATATGGTCATCCAGTCTTCGTCTAGATAGTCAAAGTCCAGCAGCTCGTAATTTTAAGCAGTTCTTCTTGCCAAGAAATCTGATATGACACTTCTCTTTATGGATTTTTGGCTCACGTACTCGATGTCAAATTCGGATAACAACATCTGCCATTGGGCTAACCTTCCAGAGAGAGCAGGCACATCCATCATATACTTTAGTGGATTTAACTTGGAAATCAGCCAAGTGGTATGGTACAACATATATTATCTGATTCTTCACATAACCCATACTAAAATACAACAAACTTTTTCGATTGGAGGATATCTGACCTTGCAATTAGTGAACTTCTTGCTCAGGTAGTAAATGGCCCTTTCCTTCCTCCCGGATTCATCATGTTGACCCAGGACATACCCCATTGAATTCTTGAATATGGACAAATATAAAAATAGAGGTTTGCCCGGGATGGGGGACATCAGGATGGGAGTGTGAGATAAATACTCCTTTATTTTCTCTAATGCAGTCTGACAGTCCTCGTCCTATGCTCCAGGGTTGTTTTTTCAAAGAAGACAAAAGATTAGGTCACACTTATTAGTCAGTTGAGCTATGAACAACGCTATGTAATTTAACTTGCCCAAAAAACCTCGAACCTCTTTCTGTGTTCATGGATGAGGTAAATTCTTGATGTCTTTGACCTTATCAAGATCAACTTCGATGCCTTTCCTGTTGACCACAAAGCCTAACAATTTTTCAAATGTTGTTCCGAAGGTACACTTACTGGGGTTCAGTCTTAGCTGAAACTTTCTTAATCTTGGAAAGATATTTCTCAGATTCTTAACATGTTCTTCTTCAGTTTGTGCCTTAAAAATCATGTTATCGACATAAACCTCAATTTCTTAATGCATCATGTCATGAAACATGGTCACCATAGTTCTTTGATATGTTACCCCAACATTCTTTAATCTGAATGGCATATCCTTGTAGCAGAAAGTTCCCAACATTGTGACAAATGTGGTCTTTTCCATGTCTTCAGGATGTATCTTGATCTGGTTATATCCTGAAAATCCATCCATGAATGAGAAGAAAGCGTTCCCGGCTGTATTATCCACTAAAGTGTCTATGTGCGGCAGAGGAAAGTTATCTTTGGGACTTGCCTTGTTAAGGTCCTGGTAATCGACACACATGCGTACCTTTCCATCTTTCTTTGGAACCGACACTATGTTAGCCACCCATTTTGGATACTTGGCCACTTAAAGGAAGCCAACACCGAACTGTTTCTTGACCTCTTCTTTGATCTTAAGGAGTATTTTAGGTCTCATTCTCTTTAGCTTTTGTTGCACGGGTTTGCATTCTGATTTTATAGACAACTTGTGAACTACCATATGTGTATCTAGCTCTGACATATCTTGATACGACCATGCAAATACATCCCATTATTCTTGAAGTAAGACAATCAAGTTTTGTCATGCTTCAGCCAAAAGAGTTGTGCTAATCTTGACATCCTTCCTCTCCTCTTCGGTGCCCATATTCAAGACTTCGATTTTATCTTCATGTGGCAATATTTGTTTGTCTTCTCTTTCTACCATCCTCAACAATTCAGTAGGTAAGTTGCACTCCTCTTCATTGTCACATTCATCAATATCCCTAAGATAATTTGACGATTCAAAATCCACCTCTTGGTCAGGATCATCAGTGCCTGCATTATCGTTATCTTGGGACCTGAAGGAGAAAGGAAATATATATGCGTGAGAGGAAAATA